CAGCGCGCGGAGGCGGCTGCAGGTCAGGAGCACGTCCAGCAGCAGCAGCTTGAAGAGCAGCAGCCGCAGCGCCCCCAGCCGCAGCGCCTGGCCCCGCGTCCCTGCGGGAGAGAAGGCGCGGGTGAGCGGCCCCGCAGGCCGCTGTTCAGCCTTCCACCCGCCCCGCGGGAGAATGTTCACCAGACAAAAGGTAATCAGGGAACGTCCTTCCTGGCGTCTAACCTCAGGCTCTGTCTGGGAATAATAAACACCTTCCTAGCCTTCATTTTCTTTTATTCCTCAACAACCAAGGGGACTGAAGGTCAGGCAGGAGTTAGCATCCCATAAGGAGGAGAGTCATCAGCTCAAATTTCTCTGGTTGGGAAGCAGAACCTGGGTCATGACTCTGTGTCCAGCAGATGGTTGGACTTGCCACCACGCAGTCTCCCAAGTCTCCCTGGACTCCCAAGAATCTCCCAAGGCTCTGATGCTGAGACCATCCCTCTGGGCTGCCCATGGAGAGCTTCAAGGACCCTTCTGCTAACTCTCACGTGCTTTTCTCAACTAGTGTCCAGAAATTAGGCTGGGATCAGGGGATTTAATCCCCATCTGACCTGCGGGTTGGCAGAGGCCCAGGCTAGCCAGTGCCCTAGCCTAGCAAGGCAGCCTCTTCAGGGAACACCCACTAATCCCCAAGGGGACCATGAAGCCAGAGCCCAACAGAGCCTGAGATCCTGGCCCACAATACTCACCTCGGAGAGGCTCCCAGAGGCAGGTCCTGGTTGAGGAAGCCCCTCCTGCCAGGCAAAGAGAAGGGAGTGAGTCAATGGGATGGGCTGTGTCCTCCACCCCAGTGCTATGCCCCAGCTCTGCTCAGGGCAGCCGCTCATGGCATGTTGGATAAATGGACAAAGGAACCAGCAATGGACACTCTGAGTCCATCTGCAGCAAGTCCTCTGAGGGGCCCAGATCTCCCTCCCTCCAGGCTGGCCCCTGTTCTGTTCCCCTGGGAGGCTGAGGTGCCTCAGCTCTTTTAGACAATGAATCAATTTTCTTAGCAGCCTTCTTTGGAAGGTGGGGCATTTATTCAACAAACATTTCCATTTGGAAGATGACAAAACTAACATAATCCAAAAAGAGGATGTAAGTCTTCTGGCCAGTAATAATAATGGCTGGCTTTGGATTACCTCTCTGTGCCTGTACAATGGGAGTAATAGGACCCACTTCATAAATGTGAAGTGTTTACTGCCGTGCCTGGCACAGAGTAAACAGTGAGTGGTAGCAATTTACTGTTTGATTATTGTCTGGTTCTGGTGAGTAGGGTGTCATATTAAGGGTAATTTATATACAGACAGTAACCCCAGGTGTATATTTAGAGAGATTAACCCTAGGAGGGAGGAGACATTATTACCTCTTAGAAGTCATGTATCAGAGCCTGGATTTGAATGAGATATCACAGTTGCAAATCCCAGGATTCAGGGCCCTGAGATCACCCTGCTCTGAGCCTAGATGGTTGGCACTTGGATGCCCTTCATGTCCCATGGTCTGGAGTCTGTCCTCCCACCCACCATACCCTGGTTCCAGGGGCAGGGAGCAGCCACAGGGGTGCAGGCTCTGTCCGCACCTGACAGCTGTAGGGGCTGTGTGCTCTGGCTCTGCTCTCCAGCCTCAGGCCCGGTATGGCAGACAAGGGTCTCCCAGGCTGCCAGCTCTTCAGAGGGTAGGGAGAGCTGAGCCAAGCTAGTCCAGGTGCCATCTGCCGCTGGGGAAGGACCATAGGTGAACGCATCCAGTGAGCTACCATTGCCAGCTGAGAACCAGATGGGACTCTCGAGGCCAGGAGGTGCAGCATCAAGGACCAGGCAGACCACCAGCATCTCCTGCTTTCCATCCACCAAAAGTGTGATTGGTGGGGCCAGAGAGGGGAAGGGTGTGCTGCCCGCACCTACAAGAGAGCACACACTTGTGGTGGGGCTAGATCTGTCCATGCCCTCCAAGCCAGCATCTCACAGTAGCAGTCTATCCTTCCACCCACTCATCCATCCCTCTCTCCTTGCATTTATCCATCTAACCATCTTCATTCCCTCCACCCTTTCATTCATCCATCCTTTCTTCCATCGTCCATCTTCCCTACATCTATTCTCTCTCCTTCCCATCTATATCTTCATCCACCCATCCATCTATCCACCCTTCCTTCTATTCATCCATCCATCTATCCTTCCATCCATCCATCACCCATCTATCATATCTGAACTTTTCTGTGCCAGGCGTTGGGGATACAACATTAATTAAAATATTGTCCCCGCTCTCAGTGATCTCAGTCCCATGAGAGGGACAGCAGATGCAAACAAATACTTACAGTACCTTGTTGTGCCAGCCTCAGGAGAGTGGTTACCTCTGGGGAGGAAGGGAAGAAAATAGGATCTGTAATGAGATCATAAGGGGCCTCAAATGTATCTGTAACTTTTTGTTTCTTTAAAAAAAATCTGATTCAAATATGGCAAAATTTTAACCATTTGTTAATCTGAATGGAATGTGCATGAGTCTTTTTTGTGTTATTCTTGGTTCTTTTCTGTAAGTCTGTATTATTTTTTAATAACCTTTTTAGATATAATTCATGTACCATACAGTTCATCCATTTAAAGTGTATGTCTGTATTATTTTAAAGTTAAAAAATAAAAGTAAGTCATGTGAGGACTGTAAACATTTGTCCTACCTTTTCCAGAATGGTCCTGATTTTCCATACTTATTCTTTTTGGGAAAGATGACTCATTTAATATATAAACGTTATTTTTGAACAGTTGGATATCTTTTCATATAAGTAGAATCTCAAAGGTTAAAACCTACCAACAAATTTGCACCATGAGTTAAGTGCAGGCAGGCTAAAGAAATGCCCCAGGGTGCAGAGAAGGATGCCAGAAGGTCTTATGGGGACTTAGAGATCGGGGATGCTCACAAAAGATTTCTTGAAGGTCAAATAACTGACCTAGAAGCAGGTGGATGGTAAGTAGCCCACTCAGGATTTGAACTGAGATCTCTATGACTCCAGATCCCACAGACCACCCTATCTGGAAGAATGACTAAGATTTTGCTATATGACACAGTGGACCAAGCCTGGGACATGGCCTCAGACAGAGTTGGTTTGACTCCTGACTCATCCATTTAATTTCCTGAGTCTAAATTGTCCTATAAATGTAATGGGGTTAATAACACCAGCCCAGTAAAACTGCTGTGAAGGATAAAGATCATGAATATAAAACAACTTGGAAGGAAAGTGTTAGTATTATCATCAATACACATGTTAATAAGACATCACAAACAAAGGGAGGAGGGAAGGCTGGGAGTGAGCTCCAGGATGCTCGACCTCCTGAGAACTTTCAGCCGTACAGAGAGACATTCCCCAAGTTGAGTTGAGTGTCTGCCTCCTCCATGAAGCCTCCCAGGATTGCTCCTCCTCACTCTGGCTGCTTCCCTCCCAGAGCTCAGGCCTCCTGCCACAGACTCTCCTTGCTCCACATGGGTGTGGTTTATCTCCCTAGCAAGGAAAAGTTTGTGACATACTGGGGGCCAGCTTTAGAACACGGAGAGGCCATAATTCAAAGGTCAAGGACCTTCCCCCACCACAAACATGCTTGTAGATGAAGCTGGGATTCTCAAAATTTGAGTCTTTTGTCTCCAGCCTTCATCTTTGAACGACCAGGGCTGGGGAGGGTGGGTAAATTCACCCGGGAAGTCGCTGGGGCCTTGAGACTTCTGAGAACCCACTGGTAAGGGGAGCTGGGAGTAAACACAAGACACCCTGAGCCCTGAGGGCAGGAGACTGGACAGGAAGGGGGGACCTCACAATGGTGCCTGTGTCCCACCACCCTACATAGCACAACACGATCTGGCTATCCTCCCGCCCATTACGGACACCTGTCCAGCTTACTCTGGTTTCTCTATATCTCCGAGACTGACTGCCCTCCCTACCAACTCTGTGGACTCCAAGGGAGCAGGACTTGGGAGCCCGGAGTGCGGTAGCTGGCAGGTGGAGTACAATGAGGAAGGGGACGATGGGCTTCTGGGGAGAGCCTCCCCAGAGGGCCCTCAAATACCCCTGTCCTGCCTCCCTGCATCCTGCCCACACCCAGGGAAGCCTAGCATGATGGAGTGGGCTGGGCAGACGAATGGGGCGCAGAGAGGGATGCAGGGAGGGTGCTCACCTGTGGGCAGGGCTGGACACTCGAGGGCCAGGAGAAGCAGAAGCCAAGTCCCGGCCATGGCCCACCTGAGAGGAGGCAGGACCCAGCTGCAGACCTGAGGTGCGGGCTGGGGGAGGAGGCAGCCACAAGACTGCCTCACAGGCCACAGGCCCAGCTGCATCTCAGCTGCTCCACCACGGAGCCGTTTCCCCGGGGGAGGGGCCCCTCCCACCCCCAGTCTCTCACAGTCCCTTCCTACACCAGGAGGCTCAGAGAGATTGAGTGACCTGACCAAGGCCACATAGCTGGCAGGTGACAGAGCCAGAGCTTGAACTGTTTTCTGATGGCTGGCTTTATTATAGCCAAAAAGCTAATAAATGCATTTTCATGTATTTACAGCCCTTTTAAATAGAATTTAATTTTTAGAGCTGTTTCAGGTTTATAGCAAAAGTGACCAGAATGTTCAGAGATTTCTCATATACTCCCTGCTCCATCACATCAAACACCTTTTAAAAAATAAACTACTGTTTAAAATGGCCATTTAAAATGTAAATGCCATTTTCAATGACTCCACTAAATTTTAACTGGAGCTGTCATTTTGACCCAGAAACTTCATATCTAGGTATATACCCTAATGCAATAATAAGAGATTCAGTCATTATAAGACAAAGATTTATGCACAAAAATGTTCTTTGAAGTATTATATTAAAAAACCAAGGGGAGGGGAGGGTATAGCTTTAGTGGTAGAGTGCCTACATAGCAGGCACGAGGTCCTGGGCTCAATCCCCAGTGCCTCTATTTAAATAAATAAATAAACCTGATTACCCCACAAACAAACAAAAAACCAAGAGAAATTGAAAACAACCTAATTGTTTAATGCTAGGAGAAGGGTTAAATGAATTAATGTTTGTATTTTTTATATTAGTGAATATTGTGCATCAGCTTTTAAAATCATGTTTTCAAAAGAATGTTTAATGACATGGGATATAGAATGGAGTTTGGTTCAGTTATGGGCTGTGAAGCTAGAATGCCTAGCTTTCAATCCTGACTACATTGTTTGGGAGTTGTCCGACTTCCACCAAATTACTTCTCTAATCCTCGATTTCCTCATCTGTATGATGGGAAAGGTAATAACAAATAATAAATACACCTGTACAATGGGAATGATATTTAAATAAGAACATCCATGAAGAGGGTCTAGCATTATTATTTATACATAGTAAGAAGTCAATAAATGTTCTCTCTTTCTTGATATATGTGTATACATAATTACATACAGAAAGTTTAAATAAACAGGATATAAATTTAAATGGAAAATATGTATCCAATTTTACATAAGAAATACATAATTATTCCTAGAAGGAAGCAGACCAAATGTTAACAATGGTTATCTCTGCATGTTAGGATTTTGGATAGTTTTTATTTTCGTCTTAATAATTGTTTATTTCTTAAATTTTCTATGATGAATCTGTATTATTTTAAAAATCAGGAAAATAAATATTATTAAAACATAAAACTACAGTATACTATGGTTTATTTAGCCATTCCTTTACTTTTAGACTTTTGGGTTTTCCTGTTTGAGGCAGTAGATATTGTCGTTTATAAAGCATTTTCCAAATTCATACTTATTTCCTTAAAATTGGCTTAAAGTCCTCTGTGTTTTCTTGTGGGTTTTTTGTTTGTTTAACTTAAAAATGTTTTAAATTGTAATAAAATACACATAACATAAAATTTATCATTTTAGCCATTTTGAAGTGTATAGTTTGTCTGTATTAAGTATATTCACACTGTTGTGCAACCACAACCCTCTATAGAATTCTTTTCATCCTACAAAATTAAACACTCCATCCCTGCTCCCCTAGCCCTTGGCTGCCACCATTCTACTTTCTGTCTATAACTTTGACTACATCATTAAAGTGAAATCATGCAGTCTTTGACTTTTTGTGCCTGGCTTATTTCATTTAACATAACAGTCTCAAGCTTCATAATCCATGTTGTAGCATGTGTCAGAACTTTCTTCCTTTTCAAAGGCTGATTAACATTCCACTGTATGTATATACTACATTTTGCTTCCAATCAGTTCATCTCTCACTGGACATCCCTCAGTGGTTGCTCCATTTTAACCATGATTAACATAGGTGTGCAAATCGCTCTTCAAGATCCTACTTTCACTTCTTTTGTGTATATATCCAGAAGTGGAATTGCTGTATCATATGGTAATTTAATTTAAATTTAAATTTTGATAGTGGTCATCCTAATGGGTGTGAAGTGTTATCTCGTAGTAGTGGTTTCAATTTGCATTTCCCTAATAATTAGTGATGTTGAGCATCTAAGACCTCTGTATTTTAAGGCTCCTGACACACATCTGTTATACTAATTTGTGTTAGTATAAAACCACCACAACATACGAAAGGCCCATCTGGCATTTCTTTAAAAAATAAAATAAAAATTTTAAAACCCTAATTTAATTAGCAAAAAATGGAATCTCAGTTCTCTTATCAAAACATTCTTTTCCCATTTTAGTCGCTTCCTTTGCTGTATTGTCTGTTCATTGTCCTCTCATAGTCCTAGTGTCTTACTGATTTTGAAAAGCTTTCACATATTAAAGATACCAACCCTCTGTATAATGTATTTGGCTGGAGCCATTTCCCAATTCATTGACTACTTTAAATTTCACTTTTTTTTTTAACCTGCAGTTTTTTGTTTTGTATGAACTAACGTATCCATCTTCCCTATTGGGATTTATCTCATCCCTTTTAAGCCTAGAAAGTCCTCGCCCCTCTAAAGGATCCATACATTTCCACTTGTATTGTCTTTTTGTGCGTGTGTACTTTTACCCCCTCCCCAATTTAATTCCGTGAGGAATTGAATTAATTTTGGTATATTATAGAAGATGTGCATCTAAATTTCATTATTTTTCCCAAAGAGCTAATCAGTTACCCCAGGACTATTCACTGAATAATCCTTCCTTTCCCCACTATTTGCGAGACGTTCTTTATTACTTGTTAACATCTTTATCATATGTTAATGTCTTTTATATTGCTGGGTTTACTTGTTCCTGGCTCTCCGGATTTCCTGCTTTACATTATTCTTTATTCTGGTGTCAGCCTCACTCCATTTCCGTCTGATGGTATTTTAATAATCATGTCGATTGCACCCTTCCGCGCCCCGAGTGCCCCCCTGCAGCCCGCGCTGCGCTCCCGCCCCTTTTCCCGTGGGGCAGCCTGGAGGCCTCGGGCGCCACGTGTTCCCAGGCGCAGCCCGCGCCCAGGTGCGCGCAGTCTCGGTGGGTTCCCGCCGGGAGGGGGAGGGAGGGAGGCAGGTGTCCCTAACGACTCTCCCGCCTTCCAGCCTCTTGGGCTCAGTTACCACAATACAGATGGGGACGAGCCCTCTGGCTTCCTTCGCTCTTTGAGTTTCAAGATCTTCCCAGGGACGGGAAGGCTGAAACCTCCCCCACCGCCAGCCACCTCCCTCACCCCGCTGCTCACTGCTCGTCTGGGCCATCTCGCGACAGCTACCCCACTGGCCCACTGCCAGCCTCCTGGACACGGGTTGGCCTGGAAGTTTTCTTTGCCCTCTCTTTCATCGGTTCTCTCCTTCCAGGAGCCCCGGGAATCTCCACCTGACTCCACAGTCTTGCTGGTACTAAAAATGCCCTTCCCCAGGGCAGTGAGGATGCTCTGACATGTGGCCCTAGATCCCAGAGCTGAATTTCTGCTCTGAGCTTCTCACTTGGGACTAAACCTGCCATTTGCAGACCCGCTATCTAGAGCCAGGTGGTGTTCACAGACATCTCATTTAATCCTCAAAACCACGCATCGGGTATTATCATCTCGGTTTTGCCGTCAAGTAAACTGAGGCTCAGAAAAACGAAGTCACTGAAGATTCTCTAGCAGGCAAGTGGTGGAGCTGGGCATTCATTGCAGAGATGTGTTTACAGGTCTGTCTCTCTCCAAAGCTCTTTTCACAAGGTTTTTGGGAGAATTCAGTGAAATATGAGTACCCACCTGAGTGCCTGGTACACAGCAGATTCTCTCTCCCTTCTTTTTTCACCTACCCAGGTAGAAAACCCAGGGCTGTTGTTAAACTGAGATGAGCCACATAGAATGTGAGAAAGAAAATTAAGGAAACGTAGCAGTACTTATTAGAGAAGACTGCTGATATTACCAAATGATTACTGAGCATAAATCTGACCTATCTGATTAGATTGTAACCAGAGGGGCAGACGGGGCGTCAGCCCGTGTGTCTGCTGAACTTGCAAGTAGAATTCTCTTCCAGTGATACCGAAGGGGTCATATGTCCACTGGAATCTAAAATGTTTCCTACCGTCGGTGTTCACATAAGTTAGCAGGGGAAGAGTGGTTTTGAGGCCCAAGTTCATAATCACGGCCAGCTGCTACACCTCCAGTGACAGGTTCTTCTTCTTTGACAGCACCTTGGCTGGACTGGGTTCTCTGCCTGGTGGTGACTCAGGCCTTTATTCCTGTGGTGTCTGAGTCCTCGGTAGTCTTGACATTGTGGGTTGCTGAGGTTTTCTGTTAACCAGGACAACTGAGCAGAGGATTATTAAGAGGCACTGTGTGAATCCCCAGACCTAGTGCCTACCTCTATTATGTGGTAGCAACCTAATGTTCTCTGGTAATTGGGATTAGTCAACCCAGACCTTACAGTAACCGCCCCCCTTTCTCTGCCTGTGGGTTCAACAGCATGAGAAACCAAAATGGCCTGGGGCCATCTCAGCTTCCAACTCTATGATCCTTGCCTGGTGCAAACATTTCTCCCTTGGATGCTAGGATCGCCAAACTTCCTGAGGGCAAGGTTATGGGGGTGGGTAGCAAAAGTTCATCCAGTAGGTTATAGACTTCAGCTATAATAGTGAGAAGGCTGCTGCTACCCCCGCCTCTCAGTTATATACAATTCTAGTTTTGGCTTAAAGAAGACACTGTATCCTGCAGGACAGCACGTCCACCTTGCAGGGTGTAGTTTCTTAACTCTGCTCTGAGCCTGCAGCTGGCCAATCCTCCATTCTATCAGGCCAACTGCTCCTGGGTCATGGGGCACATGGTAAGACCAGTGAATGTTTTGGGTGTGAGCTCATTCCTTGGCTATAAAATGTGTGCCAATGTTGGAGGCAATGTTATGTGGAATGCCATGGTGATGCATACAGTATTCTGTGAGTCCATAAATGGTGGTGTTGACATAAGCAGTGGTGAATTCATACCTGGAATATGTGTCTATGAGGATAAAGCACAGCCCTTCCATGCTAGAGGGGCCCAAACAAATCAATCTATGATCAGGTGAGAATGGTGTCCACTCAGGGACTCAGCTCTGGGCTGTAAATAGGATGGACATGCAGCCAGATTAGCCTCAGAGAGAGGAAGACCATATTACTGAGCCAAAATATAGCTTCCACCCTGCCACCGTGGGTCTGCTGAGCAAGTCCTGGAGCACCTGCGGAAAAGGGGTGACTGTGGCCCACGGGACTATCATTTTGTCTACCTGATGACCATTCTTCCCCATGCTTTATTATGGGTCATTGTGGTTCCTTTGCCTTTGGCTGTTAAGCATCACCACCTGCTCTTTGCCCCACCAGGATACCATTATTCTCATCCAGGTCAGGGTATTCAGTTCCAGTCTCTAGCATCTCCCACTAGCATCTCCAGCCTACGGAGCCCCACCAGCAGAGCAAGCCAAGGTTGCTGGTGGTCCTCACCAATGCATTTCTTACTGCTTTGGTAAAGGGAGTGTTTTCCAGGCCCCCTTAACATATGTGGCTAGGGATGGCGAAGCAGACTGCACATAATAAATCCAATCCAGCATTCCTGTCTCTCTGAGACTTTGGATTCCTTCCTCTATAGTATGCCAAGGAAATTCTGGCGTTTTAAGTTTATTAACTCTAGGCTACATTAAGTCCAGACTTTAATTAAACAACCTAACAGACTACTCACGCTTTTTCCAGGTACTCGAGCCAACACATTAAGTCCAAAATCCTGAATGAGCATCCTGAGCCATGGGTTTGGCCAAACCAGGTCTAACTTTCCACCCTCCTGGGTCTGTTTCCCCTAGAATCTTCTCCATGCATGCTCCTGTGGCTCTTGCCAAGTCAGTTTGGCAGGGCCTGTGACTCTGGGCATTCTCCTCTTAGCGTGGGCCCAGAGCTTCTTCACCCAGGCTGGGCTGGGATCTAACTCACAAAGGGCCTGGGGCCAAAGAGGGGTGGAGTGGGAAGGGTTCTGAGGCTGATGTCCTGGGAGACAGGATCACTACAGGAGGAGGCTGTCTGCACAGACAAGACCCTTCAAAAGAATTTGCGGGTTCAGAGTTCCCAGGCTTGTCTGTGTCTGCCCAGATATCCTTATCCCATCTCTGGGCTCCACCCCTTCCCCATCAATGCCCTCACCTTAGCGTAAGAGACCTAGAGGCATTTAATCAGCCATGTGAGCCCCTCTGTCTGTGGGAGATGGGGGATCTCTTCAAGGTCCCATCAAGAAGTCCTCATGGCTCACTCACATTCCCCCTCAGATACTGATGACTCTTAGTTCTCCTTTCCCCTGCACGTGTTCCCTGAGGCCATCAGAAGCCACAGGACTCCACACCAGAGTGTAGAAGAGCCAAAGCCATTTCATCTCGCTCCTCCACTCCCCAGCAATGCAGGGCCCTACCCTGCCTTTCGCGCTATCCCGGCGGTAGCTTGAGAGGTGGTGAGACTCTGCATGCAGTGGATTTCCTGGGCGCTTCTCCCCCACTGCACAGAGACTTTCCTTGTCCTCCTTGAACTGGTGATCCATCCACTCCCAGTATCCCATTTGAGACTACTCTTGGAACCAATTCCTGTATTGATGAGTATGGGCAGGAAATAGATGGCACACTTATATTGGGTAGTTTGAGGGGAATTTAATTAAAGGATTATTTACAGAGGCACAGCAGTGTGAAGGGAAATCCCAAGGGACAGTGCAGTGTCCAGGACTAGTGACGGGCCTGCGGAGTGAGGGGAGGGAGCAGTGTGGGGCCCCAGAGCCAGAGAGCCATGTGGAGGGACCCTGCAGCCAGTGGAGATCCTGGAGGGAGAGAAAATGCAGAGTAAATACCCTGACTGTCTTCTCCTTTCTCCTGCTGGGCCCACCATTGGCCAAAGCCAGAGGTTCAGGGAGCCGATTGCAAGTGTCTGCAGATGTCAGTGGCCAGGAGGCTGCGGGGGGCCACTCATGACCTGAGGACTGCCGAGCACAGAAGTTGGGCCTAAACTCCCACAGTGCAGGGCGTCAGGCTCTGAGGTTGATCTCTCAAGGACAATCTCTGTCCCGCCACCCCTTTGAGGAATGTGCCAGATGCATTAAGGCCTGAAGGAACATCCTGAGCTATCAAGTCACTAAGGACCTTTGGAAGGAGAGATGCAATCGGCCTGCAAGTTAGTAATCTTAGCCTGAAGAACAATCACCTGAGATAATAGTACACGAGTCAAGATGTTAGCTTAGAGGAACAATGCCTTAGTTTA